AATTGAACAGAAACATTCAAATATAAAATAACAATTGAACAGAAACATTCAAATATAAAATAATAATTGAACAGAAACATTCATCTATAAAATAATAATTGAACAGAAACATTCATGTATAAAATAATAATTAACATTATTTATCTGAGGAGCAGCTTTGAGTTTAACTCCATCACTGAACTCTCATCTTGAACAAGCATGAAGGCGACAGTGGAAAGAAAAACTCCCTCATGAGGAAGAAACCTTTAGCAGAACCAGGATCAGGACAAGAGGACCATCTGCTTCGACCGGCTGGGTTTGGTAGGAATAGATACACAATGGCAGGTCAAGAATCACGTTAAGATAGAAATAGTATCAAATGAAAACTATTCAGTTTTAACAATTATTTTAAGGACATGAGGTCAGTTTGTCCTCTAGTAGTCTAAGTCTATAGCAGCATAACAAGCCGACCCTAACTATAGGATTTATCAAAAAGGAAAGTCTTAATCCCAGTCTTAAACTGGACAATGTGTCAGCCTCACAGACAGAAACTGGAAGTTGGTTCCACAAGAGAGGAGCCTGAGAACTGAAAGATCTTCCTCTCATTCTGCTGCTGGGAACTCTAGGAACCACGAGTAAACCTGCAGTTTGAGAACTGGAAGATCTTCCTCCTGTTCTTCTCTTCTGTCGTTCTGTTCCCTCGTTCAGCGTCAGGCGGCCGTCGCAGCTCGTTTCACTCGTTTTATTGTCATTGATTTGAGATTAGTTTTTAATCTGTGACCATTTATTCATCCAGTCGGCACAAGAGCAGGTTTGAGTTGTGATTTAATAAATATTTTTATTTGACCGTTTTAGTTTTGATTCGTGGGAATTTAAATTTGAATCTGAGTTTTAAAACGTGTTTGTTTTTCAGACTTGATGATCGGCCTTGCCTTATCTCGTCCTCTGCGGCTCGTATTGATCTGCTGACTGAACCGGACCTCCTGCCCTGGTTCTGATACTGGACCGCACCGAGCCCGGGGGGGGGGGTCGGACCTGATACGGGAACCAAGCTCGGTGAGGCCCGTTTCTTTTGGGTCAGCTGACGCGTCACGGAGGCTCTGATTGGTTGACGACGTCTTCAGCCTGTTTCTGAGCAAAGACTCGATCGATGGCTGCGTCAGAACTGATCCAAGACGACGATGTTCCGATCCACGTCGAAGCTAACGTGACCTCGACGGACGCACAGACTCATCCCCAGAGGGTGGCCAACGGCAGCCCACCCCGCCACGCCTCGGCGCCGCCGCCCGCGGACGCTCAGGACGATAGAAGCCGAAGCGAGCGGCACCGGCTGAGCAGCCTGCTGAAACAGAAGCAGCTGATCACGTCGCTGAGCGAGCAGCTGAAGCGGCGCTGCGACTACATCAAGATCAGCGTGGAGGAGGAGCACGCCAGCCTCCTGCCCAACGAGTGGTGGAAGACGGGCGTGGCCTTCCTCTACGCCTTCTTCAACCTCGTCTTCACCACCGTCATCATCACCGTGGTCCACGAGAGGGTGCCGGACAAGTCCCTGAACCCGCCGCTGCCAGACAAGTTCTTCGACTACGTGGACCGAGTCCCCTGGGCCTTCACGGTCACCGAGGCCAACGGGCTGATCCTGGTCGGACTCTGGCTCATCCAGTGGCTCCTCCTCAAACACAAGTACGACCCGGTACTGGTGCCGGCCCAGTCTTTGTCTCACTTAAAACTGGTTTCTGACAGGCTGAATGTAGATTTAAACAAGAGTCCAAGTAAAGATTTTAAATCTTCTAAATAACACAACATGTAACCAAATATTATAAAACTATTATTTTTGCTTATTTGTTCTGCTGGACAGGTGTAAAACACTGTGTCAGTAAAATATTCACCGGTCCAGTGGACTCTGCCGGGCCTGGAAGAACCCAGAGGTTTCAGATGAAAAGGCCGAGCAGGATTATAAAAGTTTGGAACGACAGAACACGACAAATAAATAAATAAATAAATAAATAAATAAATAACGACGAGCGGAAATTAATGTTCAAAACAACGTTTGTCTGATTCTGAGCAGCTCCGCAAGAAAATCTGTGAATTAAAAGTTTTTAAAACATAAAACTCATCAAAAGTACTAATATAACGGAAGAATGTGACAAATGATCTTTACGTATTTATGTTTAAAGTTTGTTGCAGCCACTTATACATTATTATATTATTTATGATTATATATATATATATATATATATATATACATACATTATAATTTTTTTAACTTGAATGTTTTTCCTTTGAGCCCGCCCGGCGGCTCCGTACGGTCCAGTGTTCTGACCCGCTGTGGTTCTGTGCAGGTCCATCGTGGGCCGGCGCTGCTTCTTCCTGATCGGGACGCTCTACATGTACCGCTGCGTCACCATGTACATCACGACGCTGCCGGTGCCGGGGAAACACATGGTCTGCGCCCCAAAGGTACCAGAAACCCAAACGGTTCTTTGCAGCCGCTCCGCCTCACGGCTCACCTGCAGAACAATGTGTTTGTCTCTGAGCAGCTTTACAGCGACTCCACGGGGAAGATCTGGAGGATTCTGCGGCTCATCTCAGGAGGAGGTGAAAAGAATACATTTCACAATAAAAGTTTCAGTGACTTGTTGGCTTTTAATTTGAAAACGTCATTGTAACTAGATGATTGTGTTCAGGTCTGTCCATGACGGGCTCTCACCTGATGTGTGGAGACTTCCTGTACAGCGGACACACGGTCATGTTGACGCTCTCCTACCTCTTCATCAAAGAGTGTAAGAACAATCCAAATGTTTCGTCTTCTTCCTCAGGTGTGCTCCTCCTCCTCCTCCTCCTCCTCCTCCTCCTCCTCCTCCTCCTCAACTGAACCTTCAGAGCTGAACGTTCTTCTCCGTGTTGGCCTCCATGTTATTTCCCTTCTCTACTAAAAGTTGTTTTAAACGTGAAAACTCCCAACTCCTTAAAAAATTCTGTATGTTTACTGCACAAGACGTCACCATTTCCCTGGTACAATGCATTCTGGAGCGATGACGTACATCGGTTGTAGTGGAGACGAACACGAGGAGTAGGGCTGGGCGATATATCGACATTTTAAAACATCATTATTTTTTAAAATGTCGATATAATTTAATTCACGATATAAAATGAGACTATATTGATGCAAAACGATATAGTCTTATACTCTAGAGTTATAAATCTGCCAGTTTCCTCCGTCTGCACCTTAATGCACCCCTCCTTCTTTCCCCTCACTAAGTACAAGCCCGCCCCTCCCCCGCCGCCACTGAAGACTATTTGAATTACAAAGCTGAGTTTAGATATGCAGGTATCGTTGTTAACTGTAAATTCCTGATAGGTGTTAAAATGACTGTGAAGCTGCTACAAAGCAGAGGTTTGATGTTCTCCAGGAAATTAACTGAAGAGCGACGAGTTGTCTTCTCGTTATAAAACTCTGAGACAAATATCCAGTTTAGGGTGATTTATTTAAACCAGAAAAGCACAAACAAGCTTGAACAACAAGGCTCCATCCATGTCAAGAGAGAGGAAAAACCCCTCCAAATGAGCTCTGCACTGTCAGAGTGAGAGCTTTGTTAATAAAGGTTGAATGAATACACTTCATTAGAATCAGACTTCAGATTTATTAATAAAACGGTGAAATACTAAAAACAAGAACATATTTGCTTTGATTTTTCTATTGACATTATCAGATGTCTTGAAACTTGTATTTGTAAATAAATGCCTAAAAAACAAACTTTAATATATATAAATTTATTTTTAAACATTTATTTTGTATGGTTAATAAATGTGCCTGTGTGACAACTGGGGCAAAGCTTTGACTCACAAATATATTTTATTACTTTATGGAAAGAAAGAATATTGAGATATATATTGTATATCGTGATTTATCTTAAAAGTATCGAGATATTCATTTAGGTCTATATCGCCCAGACTTACTAACAAGGAGTCACGGCTAAAAAGTTATAACGTGACAATAAAGTTAGATTTTGTATCGGTCTTTATGCACAATATATTAGAGCCTGACCGATATAAATATTTTGACTGGCTAAATTAGCTCTGAAGCTAAAGAGAAAGCTAACAGGCTAAAGCTGAGGCTCCGCCCACAAAGCTCAGCTGTCCGTCCTCAGTCCGCGGGGCAGAACCAGCCTGCTGTCAGGTGTACTCGCAGTGATTAATGTGTGGTTGTGTGCTTAGTGTTGTTTTGCTCTGTGGTTGGGGTGGAACAACTTTTCATTTTACATCGGCACCTGAACCTGCAAAACAAATTAGGACAAGTGTCAAATGGGACGGATGGACAGACGGACAAAGAGAGAGGCAATAAAGTCTTTGCCTTTATTATTATATAACGTCGGGGCTTAATTTGAGCCGGATCGTGCCGGAGCAAGGTCCAGCAACTCTTTATTTTGACAGGGTGCGTTCTGTTATGGTTTGCTTGGACCCAGTAACTCTGTCTTACTAATAAAAAAGTGATGAACAAATTTTACTGCTTTGATCAAATAAAACTTATGTTGGATTGAAAATATGGGGTAAAGACAGGGCAGCCGACCTGGGACCAAAAGTCCCAGGTTCGATCCCAGACTCGTGGTGTCTCTGAGCAAGACATCTATTCCCTAATTGCTCCCCGAGCGCTTACACATCTGCCCACTGCTCCACCTGGTGTATCCCAGGTGTGATGGGTTAAATGCAGAGAACTCATTTTGCTGTTGTATGGGAACATACAATGATGACAACACACAGCACTTTACTTAAATAATGACATAAACACTCATTTTAAACACAACAGCCACTTATGACTTCTTAAGATCACAGACGAGCTGCCTCTTCAAGCAAGAATTTCGGCCTCTACCCTTAAAAAATGTCCGCCCCTAAAAGATTGGTGGGGGCGAGTGTCGACCGAGCTAAACAGGCAGTCGCACACAGGCAGGAGCTCACAGGCAGCCACGATGAACAGATGGAGGCGGCGCCTGGAGGTTTCACAGGTGGAGTCGAACTGTGAATTCAGCAAAGAAGAGTCTGCTCAGAACCATCAAGGAAAGGGGGGGGGGATGCCTGACAGATGTGGTTTACAAATGTAGGTAAATTCAGATGTTTAACAGCCTGTTAAAATACACCAAGACGCAGGAAATTGCATCTTCTTTATTCAAGATTTTCTGGGGGAGGACCCCCAGACAGCCCCGCCCACTATTTGTGTTCCGGCATCAATCAGTTTACAAATTAAGCACTGTATAACGTGTAACTTCTAATCTAAAGCCCTGTTGGCACGGGTTTAGTTTTACCTAGGGACCACATGCTATTTGTAATAATTACAGACATTGTTTGTTTGTTAATCCTGTGCGAATCGGCCATGTCAGTAATTTGTAAAGTAAAAATTTCCCCGATAATACTAATCCAATGCGAATAGGCATCTCTGTGATTTGGACAGAAATGGGCGGGATCTGATAGTAATGAGGCGGTTTTTGTTTAAGCAAAATCCTTTTGAAAAATATAGAACAAGGCTATTTTAAATGAACGCACTTTGGCTTTTGTAGATGCTGCTTCCTTCACCACAGATGATGGCAGGTGAAGAGACATGCTCGTGATCAGCTGATCCATCCATCCATTATATTTACCCGCTTCTTCCTTTTCGAGTAGCGGGATCGCTGGTGTCCATGTCCAGCAGTCACTGTGCGAGAGGTGGGGGACCGGCCCGACCCGCACATTAAACACATTATTATGGACCGGCCCGACCCGCACATTAAACACATTATTATGGACCGGCCCGACCCACACATTAAGCACATTATTATGGACCGGCCCGACCCGCACATTAAACGCATTATTATGGACCGGCCCAACCCGCACATTAAACACATTATTATGGACCGGCCCGGTCGTTACAACGCAGCGCGTTAACATCTGGAAGATATCCATAAATTTCAGCTAAATCTCAGACTTTGGTCTTCCGTGCGAATGCGTCAAAAGCAGAAGTTGGGAGTAGATTACGTGTGGTCGAGGTAAAATAATCCCATGTGAACAGAGATTAAGAACGTGTTGTCAGTGTTTGTTGTGAACGGCTCGTTATGGAGCAGAGGCTCTCTCATCAGCAGCTCTCCTCTTCATCGTTCAGTGTTCGTCCTCTTCATCGTTCAGTCTTCGTC